ACCAAAATCCATTAAAAATGTGTCAGGAACAGCAGTAGCAGCTGGGCTTGGTGAGGATTTAGTGCCTGATTCATCGTGGTATAATTTAAGCGGTTCTTTCTCTCGCAGATAATTATCAGACGGCACAACTCCTTGCCTTAATTCTGGAGCTGCTTACTTTCTGTGTGGAGCATCACACATATCACATCAAGAACTACATTATGAACAAAGATTTGCTGAGGAGAGTCCTGGTCCTGATGAATTCCAAACACACCTTTCTGGCCTTGTGTGAGTATGGAGCTGTTGCTTTCCTTCTTCGAGCTCTGCGTGCACTTGGGGAAGGGGTTCCAGTGCCAGGGGGCACTTAAAATTCATGGTAATTCCCTATTTGCTGTTGAGCAATTGCTGCTGGACTTTAGACAGAGATCAGTGGTCCCTGATGCCTTTCAAACAGCCAGGGAAGTGAGAGAAGGACAAAGGAAGGTGCGCTGTCAGCAGCTGCTGCTCCTGTGCTTCCCCGGGGTGCTTCTGGGTGCTCTTGGTTTGGGGGTGCCCGTTCCTCGGGGGACACCAGGCCTGGCATGGCTGTGCTCGTGCAGGTGCTCTGCGCTTCATGAGGAGGATAATCGGGCTGAAGGACGAGTTCTACAACCGCTACATCACCAAGGGGAACCTCTTTGAGCCCGTCATAAACGCGCTGCTGGACAACGGCACCCGCTACAACCTGCTCAACTCTGCCGTCATCGAGCTCTTCGAGTTCATCAGGGTGGTGAGTCCTGCTGCAGCTCCGACCCCTGGGACACGGCAACCCTTCCCTCATGCCCCAAATCCCCCCTGTGGATAAATGTGCAGATCCATGACCTGTAACCTGCCCGCTGTCCGTGACTGCCCCGCCGCAGGGGTGTCCGACTGTCCTGGGGATCGGGCCCTCTCAGGGCTCCCGTGGGTGGTTTCTGGGCCAAACCTGGCACTGAGGAATGAAGGGAAAGGGGTTGTAGGGGACTAAATCTGGGTATTGGTGGCTCTCAGTGAGACTGATTTGGCTGCAGGCTGGAAGGATCATTGTCCTTTACATCCTACACAAGTGTTTACCAGGCCGGTGGCAGCTTTGAATCTGTTTGTGGGAACACGGTGTGTGTGGGCAGGACAGACAGGACAGGCAGGAGCACCCGGCTCCTTGGGAAACAGGGACCTGAAGCAGCTCCTGAGCCACTGCCTGGGAGAGCCTCCCTGTGTGGGAGGCTTTTCAGGGAATGTGTGCTCTGTGAAAGGGAAGGGCAGTTTTTACTCACAGGGTATTGTAGCTGCTGTCTTTTCCAGCGAGAATCAGGAACATTAGGATTTGATATGGTGACAGACTTGGTAGAGGTGCCTTGTCCCGTGGGAGCTGCTGTAGTTACAGAGTAGTGGGAGAGCTGGAAGCTCTGGGGAGAGCAGGGCACAGCTATCCCAGATAGAACATCCTGGTTCATGGGAATGTCACAGATTGCACTGGGACACTGCTGAGTATTGTCTGTCTGGGAAAGTCTATAATTATTTCTAGATCCCAGGTCTTTTATTAAAGATAAATCTGAATACTTCACGTTTGTACAATATTGAACAATAATATTTTGGCTCTGGGCAAGGAAACAATTCCTTTCCAAACTAAACTCAAAAGCTCTCTGAGCTGCTGCCTGTGACCATGAGACTGAAACCCTGTCTTGTTCTCCTGCAGGAAGACATCAAGTCCCTTATTGCACACATAGTTGAGAACTTCTATAATGCACTTGAATCTATTGAATACGTTCAGACGTTCAAGGGACTGAAGACCAAGTACGAGCAAGAAAAAGACCGACAAAACCAGAAGCTGAGCAGGTGGGCCCCGCTTGGTGTGCTCGGGGTCTGTTGGGGGAGCTGGCACTCGGTCTGGGTCACTGTCAGGTGGGGTGGGGTAGAGCTGGGAATGGAGGGAAACTCCTCTGGAAGTGTGGAGGCCACTGCTGCTGCCGGGTGTGCCACAGCAGCAGAGCTGCAGTCCCCGTGCTGTGTCTCTTGCAGTGTCCCCTCCATCCTGCGCAGCAACAGGTTCCGCAGGGACGCCCGGGCCTTGGAGGAGGACGAGGAGATGTGGTTCAATGAAGATGAGGAGGAAGAAGGAGAAGCTGTTGTCCCTCCGGTTGAGAAGTCGAAGCAGGAGGATGATTTCCCAGATAGCTATGAAAAATTTATGGAGACTAAAAAAGGTATTTACTCTGCTTGAGCTTGTTGGCACTGGAAGGGCTCCGTGGCAGATCCGTGGATTGTGCTCTGTACCACGAGCAGCACTGAGGCTGTTCTGTGTAAGTCAGTCAGGAGAGCTGAGCGTGTCTTTGCAAGCCAGTTTAGGATTAAAATAACGAGTTAAACTGCTCTGGGCATGCATGTAGAGTAAGTGGCACTCAGAAGCAAGACTGTGCTTGTGTGCTCTGAGGGAGCCGCGTCCCCCTGCCCTCGGTTTGCTGCTGAGGGCCCTGGGTGAGGCCAGATGGGGAACTGTCCGTTTGGAGATAAAGGACAACCAAAAACCCGTCGGCTCTTGCCCTGCGCTCGTGCTGTGATGCAGATGGTGCTCCTGTGTGCAGCTGTTCCTAAGTGTGGCCATGTTTGTCCCTCAGCTAAGGAGAGCGAAGACAAAGAGAATCTTCCAAAAAGGACTTCAGCTGGGGGATTCAAATTCACTTTTTCCCACTCAGCCAGCGCAGCCAACGGTGCCAACGGTGCCAACAGTAAATCGGTGGCAGCTCAGACGTCCCCGGCGAGCTCCAACGGCTCCTCCTCCAAGAGCACGGCCCTGGCCCCGGCGGTGACGGCGCCCAAGGTGGGACAGTGGCACGGGAGCGCCTGGGCTGGGCAGGGGGCTCAGAGTCACCCCCAGCCTCCCAGTGAGCCCTGAGGGGTGGGGAAGGGTTAAGGAGGGGCTGGGTGGGACTGGAGCCCCTTGGTCTCTGGTGCCACAGCTCATCCCGCATTTTCCTCTTGCTCTCACTGCTGCCCCTCCTCAGCTTGTTCCCTGCCTGGTCACTGCTCCGTGTGTGATGGACAGGGCAGACTGGGGTTTTGGGGATGGTTAGTGCTCCCCTGCCAGGCAGTTGCGGGGTGGTTTTGAGCAGACAAAGGCGGTGGTGACTCCTCTGTGGTGCCTGGCACAGCCCTGCACTGCTGCCAGTCTCCAGCCCCTGAGCAGGGTGCAAAAGTGGGGCAGGAATTTGATTGCCCACCCCAAGGCTGAGCAGCCAGGGGGATCTCAGGGAGCACAGTGGATTTGTGCCCATCTGGCTGGGAGCTGCAGAAGGGACTTGTAGACAATTGTGAGGCCAGACCCGGAGGAGCGAGGGGGCTCCAGTGCTTTTTGCAGCGTCAGCACCGCTCCCCAGACAGAGGGGTCCCTGAATGCCAAAGGCATCACCGGCAGACCCGCTGCTGCAGCCCGGGCTGTCCTGACACGTGGGCTGGGGCTGCTCCTAGAATTGCACCTTCCTCAGGGTTTTTTCAAGGTGAGAATTTCCTTTTTCCCTTTCTCTACCTGGCAGGGAAGTCTAGTTGGCCTAGTGGATTATCCTGATGATGAAGATGATGATGAAGAGGAGGAGACGTCTCCAAGGAAAAGACCTCGTCTGGGTTCATAAAAGAAACCAAAACTTTGGAATAAGAACTTTTCCTACGGGGTTTCAAATGCTGCAACTGTTTCAAGAGCTAAAAAGAAGTCTGATTCAGAAAGCTTTCTCCCATGAGTAAATAAGATAATACAAGGAGTAGCAAGAGAAACTCGGTGTATCGGCTAGAAAGGGTTAGTTCTGTAAACACAAAGCTTCCAAGGAACTTAATGTCTTTCTAGAAAGTAAGGAGTCTGCCATTCAGGCTGTCAAAAAATGAAAAATGAAAAAAAAAAAAAAGTGGGTTAGTATTCTCAGAACCTGGATGATGGCTTCTCAGCAAGGAAAGTCTCAGGTGTCGGGAGGGCAGGGGGAGGGAAAGGTATGGTAATACTTTTTTTAAAATATATTGCAGGGTTTCCCCAGTGTTTAACAGAACTAGGAAAAAAAATAAAAGTCGAGCTTAAATTTTGAACCCAGTAATCTTAATTTTGTAATGGTGCTGTCAGTTGTGTTCTTTTAGCAATGCCTCTTTTAAAAACAATTTTAAGGGAAAACTAACTCTGTTTGCATAAGAACAATCCACGTTTTGGGACCATTTCTTACCAACTAAATCACATTTCTCACGGTGTGAGGGAGGGAGGCTGCAGTTACAGTGCGCGGGGAGTTGGTAAAACAGTTCAGGGGAGGTTTGATCTCTGTTTCCCCAGGGGAGAGAACGAAGCTGGATCCAAAATGGAAGGCTTGGCTTGGTTTTTGGGGTTAGGTAATATCAGTAAGATAAAGCCAAGGAGCAAAAGCTTTTGGAGTCTCTGCAGGAGCTGCTTGGTGCTGTCCATGGCACAGCCCAGAGCCGCTGGCTTCGAGGTGGGCGAGATCCCGAATTCCAGCCGCGCTCCCTGTGGCTCCGGGAGCTGCCTCAGCTGGAGCGGCCCTCGTGCTCGGGAGTTCACCCTGCAGGATCGAGCTGGCAGTGGGAAACACTCACAGGCTTCTCCTCGGGAGGAATTAGAGCAGGTCAGCACCCAGGTCGGTTTGCACCGAGCTGGAATTACTGCCAGGAGAGCACCGGGATCTGGGGCGGGATCCACAAGCAGCACCTGAACCTGGGTGGCACAAAAGCTGCTTTTTCACAAACAGAAGCACATTCCACGTGGGTGACAGCAAGAGGGCAGTTGGGGGAGGCAAACAGTCCAGGGTTTATTTTCCAGAGCAGCACGAGAACTGTAAATATTTCAGTGTTAGTTTGCCCATTGTGATCTGAGATCATGACAGAGCGAGAGGAAACTTCCCAAGTGTTAAAGGATGGAACCAGCTGCAATCCACCACATAGGTCACTCTTGTAATACGTGTTATGGGTCCATTTCTCCTGGAATAGTTTAAACTGAAGCAGTTTCTCTGTTTTGGAGATTTTTTTTTTTTTGTAGTTAGTTTTAATTTTAGCTCTTGTTTGGAAAAAGATGGGCTGTCTGTGTAGATATGAAGTATAGTTTTTTTTCCATAAAACAGAAGTTTATTTTGTATTAAAGATACCACTGTACTTGTTTTACACCATTTGTATACATGTGGTGATATTAATGCTGAACTGTAAAATTCAGGAATTAAAATGTGACCCTGTAATTCCATAATGGCTGCTTTGGTTTGGTTTTTTGCATGTGGTGAGTGAACTGTGGCCATTTCAGGGCATTGTCTAAGCTGAGTTGTCCCTGCAGTTCCAAAAGTACCTGTCCAGCCCTAGCTGGGATCCCGGAGGGAAGGTGGGAGCTGCTCTGATGCCTGAGCACTGGATGGACGTGGGGACAGCGGGGCTGCCCCTGGGGGCTCCAGCCCCCCCAGAGGGGACTCCTTGTTTCCACCTGGGGGATGGAACAGCTCTGGATCTGAGGAAGTGTTTGCTGGGAACGTGGAGCTGCAGCATCCCCATCAGCACCTGCCTCCGGCTCTGCTTCCCCATGGAAGATGAACTTCCTCAGCAACTCCCAGGGCATGGAGCAGCTGCACTGGATGTGCCTTCACCTGCACCCCTGGAGGGACCTGCGTGTCCTGTTCCAGAGGATCAGCCCCAGCCCAGGGATCCAGGGAAGCTCAGTCCTGACCCTGCTCTCAGCCCCAGGCCTCGCTGCAGCCCCAGCAGGAGCTCCACAGACAGACCCACAGGAGATATTTTACAGCAACTCCAAGAATGGGGTGAGTTTTTCTGGGAGCCAAGTGGCACGAGCTGTCCCATTAAAGCCACCTACACTGCCAGGAGGTGACACCCAGCGCTCTGCCATGGCTTTGCCTGGGGCTGTCACCCCTCAGTGCTGGTTCCCCTGCCTGGGGCCCTCCCACTACCCCCCTTTTTGGGAAAGAACAGAGCACCTGCCAACTTGTACCAGTTACAAATGCTATTTTAATAAAAAGGACGTGGAGCTTGACCAGGTGGGTTTGTCTCTTTTCCCGTGGGCTGCTGGGGCAGTCAGGGATGTGATGCCCTGGGCACAGGGGGGCCTCTTTCCCCACTTCCAGTCTCTCAAGGCCAAACCAGTAAAGGATTTAAAAGATTTCTACCACTCTGGGAGGGAGTTGCTGGGGACAGCCCCAGCTTTGCAACCGAAGCAATTCCTTTTACCTAAAGTAGTGTTGGTAGCAAACCTGGACCCCAGGGCTGGTGAAGGGCCCCAGGAGTCCGTAGAAGGCTGTAACCTGCAGTTCATTCTTACATCCCTATGCTGCATCACCTTCCTGAAAAGTGAGGTGGCCAAGGTTGCACTTCCTTGGGGAATCAGCCTTTATTACATCGCACAGCTGCAAAGGAGTGAGTTTAGGATGGGCTAATAAAAGGACCAAGTTGTGTACTGTTAAAAAAGCCAAAGTTACCGTGTCTAGCTCTGACCTGTTGCCACAGGAATGACTTCACCTGCTCTCCCTCTGTGCTTCTGTTGTGCAGGCTCTGCAGAGGCTGGGGCAGGTCCGGCTGTCCCGGGCTCCCTGCTGGGCACGGGCGCTCACGGCGTGTCAGTGCAATTGCAACAGTGATTTACCAAGGGCTGAGCTGCTTGTCTGAGAGTTCTAGAAAGCTAAGGGTAAGATTGGAAACCAAACCCCTCCACTCACTGATGGTACGATCTGTTCTAAAAACATCCTTCTGTTCCTGGGGCCTGCAAGGAGCTCTTCAAACTATCGCTTATTAATGACCTCTTCTTTTAGCTTCTCTGCCAGCATCTTCCTCTTCTGGAGCAACCTCTGCTTCTCTTCTGACACTTCCTAAACAAAGGCAAAACAACAGGCCATGAGCAGCTGGCCTGGCAGGGGACACGGCCCAGAGGGGGAATGGGGCTCCTGCCCTGCCCTTCCCATTTCATCAGCACAAAGAAAACATCTCCCAGGTTTAAGGGCAGTCCAAACAGGACACAGAGCAAGCAGGTATTTTACCCACTCATAAATTGAAATGAATCATGGTGATCCTGAAGCAAACCAATGCCAACTTATCCCTGAAACTTCCAGGCAAAAGCTTCTGCAAAACCAGTAAAAATACTGGCAGTGTTTCCTCTCTCCTTCCCCCACCTGTTGTTTTTGCCCCTGCCCCACCGTTCAGCAGCAGTGCCTGCCCTGGAACCAGCTGTGGGGTTTTGGCTGAGGTGTGGGGGTGCTTCACCTGTTTGGGTGTTTCCTCCTCCTTCTGGTCAGTGGTTGGGGGTGTTGCTGCCCTGGTTTTTGACTCTTTCTTTGTGGCCAGCAGCATGTCTCGTTTTTTCTTCAGATATTCCTCACGTTGCTTCAGCTCCTGTTGTTCGGTTTCCGATAAACTCTGGGGGGGATAAGATTGAAACCACATGTTGAAATTACATTTTGGTATCCATGTCCAGTGCAAGAAAAGCATTGACACCCTATTTGCCTCCCAGATTATCAGCTGAGAACAAATGCAAGTTGAGTCTTCAAGCTAGAGCTGTGTCCTGAGGCTGAGGACTGGCACTGAGGCTGAACCCCACTCTGAACCCAGAGTCATGAGCTGAACTCTGCTAATTAGCCTGGGAATGTCATCAAAAGTGTTTGCACCATGGGTTTTAAAACAAATTAACCCAAAGCAACCTGATTACAAGGACAGAAACAACACTGTGTGAAGTATCTATTCCTGCTCCTGGCCCTGTAGTTCCACCTTTGGGGGGTTTGTTCTGGTGTGGTTCAGACTTACAGGCCCTTTCAGAGCAGCTTTCTGTGCTGTGCTCTCTGAACGTTTCCCAGCAGGCCTCTTCTTGGAGTCCTCTTTCCCCTTGGCACAGGAGGGCTGAGGTGAGTTTTCAGCTCCTTTTGGTACTGGGCAGACTGGTTTCAGGTCCTCCTTTGGAGATTTATGAGATCCCTCTGAGGAATTTTATGGAGAAATTAGAAAGAAGAGAAATGAGATAAAAATAACAAATCAGTGTTTCCTCCACTGTCCAGATGTGTCTTCATGAAGTGGAAAACTTAAAAAAGGCACATTTCTCCCCTTTTCTCCTGAGGCCTCTCCAGTCACCAGACAGCGGAGCAGGGTGTGTTCCAGAACTTTCCTGAGACTCCTGTCGACCAGAACTCCTCCCAGGCAAGGTCAGGTGCTATTTGTTTATTATTTACAAAGAGCCCTGTGACTGTGCTGTCCTGTCTGCCTGAGGGTGTTCATATGGGTGCAAGAACACAGGGGGAAATACCACTTTGACTCTGTTCACTCAGTTTGAGTCTACCCATAACAACTGGAAGTTGGAAAGTGTCACAATCCCACCCAAACCCAAAAATGGAACATTGAAAAGATTAAAACGAGGAACTAAATGGCAATGAGTAACCAGAGGCAAAAGGATTGAGTTTGGTGGGCTGTGAATGACTCCTGACAGTGGAGGTTGGTTCCTTCAGGAATATTTGCTGTCCATAACTGGTGTACAATTGTAAATCCAATCTATACATTCAGTGTATAAAGGGCAGAGCTTTTTGAGTCAGTGATTCAGAGTTGCTTCCAGGGAACTTGCTGTGGCACAAGCACAGTCAGTTCAGAGATAAAAACTGCTGTTGCACTCCTCTTGGAGTTGGACTCCACACTCAAAAGCCCCAGGCTGGGAGGGATTCCTGCAGGAATTCCTTGTGCAGACACCCTGCTCAGAGCTGGGATGTTTTACTCACAGCCTTAAAATCTTGACAGGAGTGGACTCTTGGATAATTTAAACCCCACCTCCTACTGCACACTCAGCATTGCACCCACCCCCCACCCTAAAATTACCTGGTGCACATCTTGGAGTTTCTGCAGCACCCTCAGCTCCCTCAGTGGGTTCCTTTACTTTTACAGCTCCTCTCGAATTCCCTGGAGAACTGTGGGTGGCATCTGGTGCTTTGAGTTTAGCTTGTGCCTTAAATCAGAAATCAGGGAAATAAACCCAAGCGTTGCAGCCCCTGGCTCTGCACTGCAGGCATCCAACTGCACACAGTAACAAAGCTCCCAGAACTCCCAGGTGGTGATGGCCACGACTCCCCCTTGGGCCAGCCCCCATTTCCACTGGGTTTCCCTTCCACGTGGTTTTCTCTGAAGGCCCCCAAGGGCTGGGCTCTTGGAGGGCATTTCTGGGTGCTGGTGATGAGCTCTGGAAGTGCTGGGAGCACCTCATGACAACTGCCCTGGCCCTGAAGCGCTCCTGAAGGTAATTCCTGCGGGATTAGCACTGCTGTCAGCCCCAGGCAGCTCCTGCTTTGAAGCCTCTTTGGTCCTGACAATATTCGTAATTCCCACGTTCCCTGGGCCTGAAAGGCTGACGTCTGTTCCCAGGATTTGGGGTGCTGGGAAGGTGGTTGCCATGGGATACTCTGGGAGTGCTGCAGTCCCTAAGCACAGCTGAGAGCACAGGTAAGGCACTCACCTCCTCAGTCCTCCTCCTCTCCTGCTCCAGGTCATATTCTTCCTTAGATTTCCTGTAACAGAGCACAAGGAAAGACTCAAACCTCCTTCAGCATTAGTGATTTTTAGGCATGTTTAGCACTGCTTCAATATCTGAGGGCTGTTTGGATACGGATATTTAGTAGTATCCAAAATATTTCTATGACTTCGTTGAAAACACACTCTTCATGGAAATTAAGAATTGGGATAAACACACAAACCCCACTGTCCTCTTTCCCTGGGCAAAAATAACTGTGTAGGAATTCCCAGGGCTTACCTATCCCTTATTTCACTGGCTGCTTTAAAGGCAGGAAGGGAAGTATTTCCAGACTGCAGAGGGGAAACAGCCCCATCCAGTACAACCTGGATTTGTTTATAAACCTGTCAACTGGGACTGGGGGTTTCTGAGGATGTAAATTCTTCAGCAGATTTTGACAAGAACATTCCTGTCACCTGTGAGATGAAGGCAGTTTCCTGGAGAAGGCTGGAAGAGGCAGGTCCTACAGACCTTTATTTCTGATTTTAATAAATCACCCAAAGTAGGAGTGATTTGTTTCTCACCTGAGAACCTCCTTGAGTATTTTCATTTCTTCTTGCTCAATCTCACTGAACACATCAGAACCTTCTGTCAGACACTCAGGCAAGACACCTGGAAAAAAACAGGAGCAAAAAATTATGTCTTACTGTGGCAGTTTGGCCATGCCAGGCTGAGCCAAGCTCTGTGCTGGCCGTTCTGAGGTGCTTCCTGCAGGCTGCAGTTCAGCCATGGCCAACTGAGCCACCCCCAGATCCAGCTGCTGGGAGAAAGGGGACATCTTATATTGCTCCCTGACAAGCAGGAGACAAACCAAGAGGGGGAAACTGCAGGCACGGGAGGAGGGAGTGGGGAGATGCCAATCCTTTCAGAAGCAGCAGAGTTGGGGGGGCATTATCTGCTTTCTCAGGTATGTATTAGCATGGTGAAGGCTTTGGCTCCTGGTTTCCCTGGGGATTTTTCGGTGTGAATTGCAGACGGTTCAGCAGAATTCCAACTGCCACTATTGGCACGTCTGAGGGACTGATCTGATTGCTTTAACACTCAGATGGGCACCAAAATTCTGTAACAAACAGCTCAGTCAAGTCCCACAGAGAAGTTTAGACAAACAGAAGTGAAAAATGTGTTAAATTCCTAACACAGGCAGCTGGCACTGGGAATGCAAGCCAAGGAGTGAGTATTGAAATCCCAGTCCCAGGAACATCAACTGCGTGTTTTCCAATAACCTGAGCTGGGGCAGAACCAGAATTCCACACTCCTCTGGAGTGGATTAAACAGGCCCCAAAAGAACTCTACAACCCTGAGGTGATTCCCCCCTTTCGCCCCTTCTTACCATTCCTTTCCTTAATGATCCGAAGGGCTTGCAATTGCATTTCAACATTTTTCTGCACCATCATTTTTTTAAATAGCCTAAAATCTTCTGCTGCCAACACCGTTTGCAGAATGGCCTAGGGGGGGAAAATACACCCAAATCAGAGCCTGCAGGAATCGCAGCCAGCTCGGCCTGCCTGCAATTCCACTGACACTTCCACTCTGAGGGGCAGGGTTTAAGGGTTTAATAGTTCATTCCCCTACCTGTTTATTGTTCCAGACATACAGTAGTAGTCAGGAAAAGAATCTGGGGGGTTATGCCTTTAGATCAACATGTCTACAACAATATTATGACAATGTTATCATGGCAGTAAGACAACCTGGCTTTCCCAGTGTAAGTTTACAAGGGTAACTCGTTTGGAAATTACGGTTTCAACAAGAAAACTTTTCCAAGCTTCATCTCCCTCCCTGCTCTAGCAGTGCAAACATCAAGCTGAGAATGAAACCTCCCCCCCAGAGCTGAGGGTTGATCTGTTTGCTCGGGGAAGGCAAATACCTGCGAGGTGTGGGTCTTGGCAAGCGGGGATGAAAAAGCCTCCTGGAACTTCTCTTCGTTGATTCCAACCTCTTTGAGATAGTCCTCCAGCAGCTTCTCCACCTGTGGGGAAGGACCAGCCTGGCTTTGGGAGCTTTCTCCCTGAGAATCACAGGAATTCTTTTCACCACTGTACATTCTTTTCTGCTGGTGTGCCTTTTAAACTCCCAGGACACTCCTTACAAGGGTGTAACTCATTTTTCTGATGGAAGCTGGCTTGTATTTATTCACCTGATGCTTTTTAACATAAAGTATTCCCAAGCCTTGTTGCAAAAAGGGTATTTTGGAAATCTGCAGGCATTGGTTTGGAGGTATTTAAGCTCCAAAAAAAAAATCCTGTAGTTTCTTTCTGACAATTGAAATTTAACTCAAAGATTTCATTCAAAAGGCTCCCTAGTGAATGAAATACAAATTGTGTGTGTTCTCAGACTCCCTGCTCTTTGTCATTTTAACTCGGCAGAAAACAACATTACCAAGCTTATAAATACAGTCTGGAAGGCAGTGGATATATTAATTTTAATTTAAAATGTAGCACAGCAGAAAATGTGTGTCACAGTCTCTTTTCCACCTGTCTGGTGTTCAAGCACAAAAGCACAAGTGACAACTAGAGCTCAAAGGATTTCTAAAGAACAGGCAACGTTAGAAAACTCTAAGTAACAAAGATAACCCAGCTAGAAGCTCAGCTAAGCACTAATCCAACATTTTAAATTGGTTTTCTTAGCAATTTACCCCGAACAGCGACTGATGCTCACCAGAGCTTGGTACTCCTGATAAATTTCTGTGTAAGACAACTTGCTTTCTTCTTCGTCATCAAAAACTGGGGGGGAGGGAGGAAGAAACATTTTCTGGTCAGTGTACACAAGTTAGCTGATGCCTTAAATAGAGACATTAACCTTTACAAGGCAGTATGTTTCATGTCATATGTTTAACCACATGAAGTTATTGTAGTCACGTGTTTTTTCCCCACACTCAGGCCAAGTGGTGCTTTTGGTAGTTTCATGGAATGAAGTTCTGTGATTTAATATTGGGGAAATGTATCCTCCTAATAGACTTGTAAGTTGAAGACTGAGCAGCTCCATTCAGTCAAAATGGAGATTTAATAGAGGAACTAGCACAGGAAGCTGTGTAGGGGGGTTCCAAGGTGGCAGATGACACACAAAGCAGGGAATTTCTCCCTCTCCATGTATTTACACGGAGGATGGATTAATTAATGGCTTAAACTGAATTTCTTTAGATGTCAGCCTTTGAGCCAAGGTGATGCAGGAAAATGAGCCCCTGCCTGCACAAAAGCAGACAAACCCAAAGAGGGAATGTGGTGAAGCTCTTTGTTAATGCTGTTCACACAAACCCCTATCAAGGACCCCCGAGTGGAACCATCAGGCTCACGATCTTTACCCTGCAGCGGAGGTGGAAGGAGCTGAACGTCAGGGAAGCTGAAAACTAAGGGGTTTGGGGGGCTTCATTTACATCTTTGTCATGCCAGCAACGAGGAGAGGTAATGTAAAACCTGGCAATTAAAGCAGAGGCTTAGAAATAAGGCTGCCTCAATCCCTTCAGGATTAGCCACTCTGGGTCGGACGAGTCACTTCCCAGGAGCATCCTTTGAAGTGGCTGGAAGAACACGGGAATTGTGCTTGAAGTGAGGATGAGTGTGCTTTACTCTTCACGTGTCAGTGCCACCCCTGATGGGGGTGATGGCCACAGAATCAGTGTGACCTCCACCCAGAGCGAGGGTGACTTTCTGAACTCCCCCAACACCTCTCCCTGCTGTGAGTGCCCTGAGCCTGGACAGGCTTTTGGATTCTTGCACAAGGCAACGTTTTTAATGCAGAAATTAAAAAAGAAAAACCAAAAATAACTATATTTTAAAATATCTAACAATAAATTGAAATGGCAGAGAAGTTCTATAAATCTTGTTCCCATGGCAACCAACCACATTCCCAAACCCAAGAGGGCCAAGACACTTGAGAGCCCCTGGTGCCTCGTGCATCTCCTCCCCTCCAGGGGTCCCTCCCAGCCCTTTGCAGCCCCCGACCTTCACCCTTGGCTCCGCTGTGCCCTCTGTGCTGCTGTCCCCTCCCGCCCTGGGAACCCCCAGGCAGGGTGACACGGGGCTGTGCTCTGTCCTCAGGCTGAGGACACGCTGGGATAACTTCAGTGCCAAGTGCAGGGAGCTGCAGTCAGCATCTCCTCCTGCCTAAGTGGCATTAGGAGCGCTTGGAACGGAGACCTTGGATTTCATTGAGTCAGGGCTCCTGAATCACACAGTCATTGTTCCTCTAGGGTTTTGGCACACAGTCTTTGAGGCTGCCCAACAGCAACAAAGATCTGAAGGACCACCCTATTGGGACAAGCCAGGGGACCCTGGACATCCTGGGAGACAAGCTCTCCATTTTCCTGGTGAAACTGAAAATCTTGGCTAGGACCCCTCAAACAGGATGGGCTCAAGTCAGGTTTGGCTTGAGTGACGGGCTGCTGAGGTGGTTCTGTGCTGGGAGGGAGGCCCAGGGGCTGTTTATTCCTTTTGTACCTTTACCTGCTGGTGCTCACAACTCTTACCAAGCTTATTTGTGTCCGAATGATGTTCCAATGAGCACCTGGGAACACCTGAGTAAAACTAGACAGCCTTCTTGCCCTAAGCACACCCCCATGGATTCCACTGCAGTTCCACACCAAGGGAAATTATTCCAGCCATATCATGGGAGACAGAAAGCAAGCAGCCATGAACAGAGAGAAAACCATTATGACCATTTACAAGCTGAAGTGCAAGGACTTGCCCTAAGTAACTACGGTTCCAAAATTAGTTCCTTACACCCCAATTCACCAAAATTCACACTGTGCTCTCGAGCAATCACAGATTCCTGTCAGTTGATGAAAAGGTTGCTAATTTGCTCGTGCAGCCCCAAGACCGGATGTTTTGGCAGTGTGAAGAATCGTGCCCTGCCAAAGTATGTGGGTGCAAGAGCAGCAGTGGGATCAGCACAGCAGGAGGCCCCAGCACAGTCCTGCCTCATGGTACATGGAAATTTACAGCAGGCCCACAATCTTCTTACTGCCAGCAAATTCCCCTCAACCTTCTAAAGAGAGATCATCGCTCCTGAGAGGGATAAATCAATTCCCTGGACACCTAAACCTACACCCTTTGCATGATACCGCACTGCTTGGCCAAGTTCAGGCAGACTTCCCAGGAAGTCTGGATTTCCCTGTCCCTTTCCCTCCCTCGTGTCCTGGTAGAGTAGGGCAAGTCGTACAGCCCCACGATGATTATGCCTCGTGCAAAGCTCGGGAGGAGCGCAAACGATTGAGGGTAAGTGAAAACCAACTTCTGCCACTAATCACAAATGAAAGCCTTCTTTGCTTTCCAAAGGGTTAAGGCACTGCTTTCAGACTTGCCCAAATGGTCTTTATTTTGGTCCCAAAAGGCTCCAGGTGTTCCTTGGCAGCAGAAATTGTTCTGTGAGCAGCGGAAGTAATTTAGCCAAATCTCTCCATCAGGAAGTGTTTCCTCCTTCCCTCACTGCAGACACACTTGTACAGGTAGGTCTCCCCAGGCTACAGGGAGATCCCACGACCCCCTCACTGCCTGTGCTTCCACTTTTCCAGGATGCTCCCCAAGTTCTTCCTTGATCCCCTCTGTTCCTTCTTGAGGAAGAAAAGGAGGTTTAACTGGAGTTGCTTCCGAGCCAAACTCACAGACAGGACCAACTACAACCCAGGACTGGTAACCACTGATTTTTGGTGCTGACTATCATTTTTTAAGAGGTACCACCTTATGGGGTTTGTGTGAACTGCCAGCGTTCACATAATTACAGGAACTCAGCTTTGGGCCTTCTCCTCCTCTGTCCCACTGGCCGGGCGGCGCTTTTGGCTGTCCTGCCCGGTGTCCCACGGGAAGCCCCCGGCTCCGGGAAAGCCCTGGCGGCCGAGCGGGGCGCAGCGCTGGCTCGGTGTCAGCCGTGAGCTCCCGCCGTAATCCCGGGTGAGCTAATGGGTGCAGGTCCCGGCCCAGGGCTGGCTCTGGGCACAGCGCGGGCCCCGGGATCGCCCGGCGGGGCCGCGCCCGTTCGCGCACGGCCCCGGGGAGCGGGGGGACACCGCGGCCAGGGGACACAGCCCGGCCGTGCCATCGGGGACCCGCCCGGCCCGCCCGCCCGGCCCGGCGCTCACCCTCGCAGTTGTGCTCCATGAACTCCAGGATGGGGATGGACCAGGCGGGCCCCCGCAGGAACCCGGCGATGGTGTCCACCACCCACTCCACGTCGTCCTCCTCCTCCGCCGCCATGGCCGGCGGCGCGGCCGCGATGGCAACGGCGTCACGGGGCGGGGCCGCCCGCACGGCATTCCCGGGAAGCCGCACGGCCCGAGCGGGCCGGCAGCGCGGCTCGCTGCCTCGGCACGCCGGCACTACCTGGCGCAGGTGGGCGCTGGGAACGAGCGGCAGGAGGAGGGCGGGGACCGGGCGGCAGCGGAGCTGGCGGCAGCCAGGAGCACTTCCACGGCATCATCCAGCTCCATCATCCCGCTCCATCATCCCGCTCCACCATCCCGCTCCACCATCCCGCTCCACCATCCAGCTCCACCATCCCGCTCCACCATCCCGCGGCACCCCCGGCCGCCCGAGCGTGGGCACCGCTGAAACAAGAGGAATGAGTAACTACAGCGCTCAGCACTCCCCAAAACCCGAGGTTACCCACCGAGGGCACAGTCCCCCAGCACGGCAACAGCCTGCCTTGCTCAGCCGGGCTGCGGCTTCCCTGGGTTTGGGGATAATCGGGATACGATGGGACATGGCCCCGGACACCCTGACTGTTAGAATGCCCCTGTCACTCACAGCGTCACAGCACAGTCGAGGCTGGGCTTATATATGCCATTTTTATATGGATAAAGACGTGCAGGATGATCCCGGGTGATGGAAAACTCCCGTTATCCCCTATTTTATCGCTCCCAGAGTGCAGTGTCAGTGGGCAGTGTCAGTGGGCAGTGACAGTGGGCAGTGACAGTGGGCAGCAAACAATACCTCACCTGTGCCTTGATGGCTTGTTGTTACCTGGTGCTCTAATTCTAATTAAAACTGTGGTCACTCATCAGGCCTTCATGGGAACAGGGATAATTTGTAACTCAGCAGTACTGTAAATAGCCTACGGTGAAAGAACTGGGAAATGATTTACAAGGCAACAGGCAAGGTTTCCATTAGCACTCCATTGTTGGGATGTTCCTTAGGGCTGCTGGTTGTGTTGCATTTCTCCCCTAAAATGAAGGTAATTCCTATTCCTCTCACTGTCCTTGCCTGTTCCACTGCTCACAGACTAGGAAGTTTTTCCCAATATTTACATTTCTTCCCCTCCTAATGCTGGATGAGTGGTGCTTTACTGGTGTGCCACTTGTAAGTAAAAAAAACCCCCAAAATAACCAAAACTCTTTGAAATCTCCTCATCCTTTTTTAAAGATGTTAATGGCCATTTTATCCCCTCACAGGGAACTGCCCAACATTGTCATGTTCTGCCTTTGTTGTCAGGGGAAACACAGGAGTTGTTAATAACACAGGAGATGGAGCAGGAAATGATCCCTGTCTGAGTCACACAGAAATTATTGCTTATTTCTCTGTCTTCTCCGAACAAGTTGCTATTTCAGACATTTTGACATATTCTTGGGTCGTTGCTTTATATATATATATATAAATATATTTAAAGCTATCAATGCTGACAAGTAAATGTTGTCAAGCCTTTCCAGCCTCTGCATTCCACTGAATTCTTTCTGTCAGTGCCCAGCTCTCGTCACTCCAGTGGGTTCCACTCATTTGCACAATAATTAGGAAGTCTGACATTCCAAAATCTTGGCAATATCTGGCTTCCTATTGGTGAACGCCACTGTTGACCTACTGCTGCCTTTCTAAATTTATTTATTTATAAACAAAAAAAAAGAAGCAAAAAAAGGTGAGCAGATGAGCTTTGAGCTAGTAGCAAAGCAATAGTTTTTACATCACCTTTAATTTCTTCCATGTGAATAATTTTGTAGATGTTTGGGTAGTTTAAAGGATATTGGCAAAAGTTAAACAGTCTTATTATTAATTACTCTTTTGTGTTTAGGCTTTGATTCTTCCATCCACCTGTTTTGTGATTGTCTTACAACTGCACCAGCTATAAATATTTTCACCTTAGTAAACCTGATACAACTTTTCCAGTTTGTTTTCATAAATTCTCATTTGGGAGGTTTGGGGTTTTTTTTAAGGAATAATTCTATTCTTTGAAAGGAAATTCTAGAATTGTGGTCTAAATCTGACCTCAAAGAGAAGCCTGAGCTCAAGTTTCTGGAAACCTGTGGAGCAAAGGCCTTTTTCTTCAGTTCAACAGACAGAGTTAAACGGGACTTTTGCATAAAAGGTCAAAAGTTAAAATACTGCTTGGTTTGGGCTGGTTGGCAATTATTTACTGAGGAGGTTTTTTGGGTAAATATGTTATACTTCTAGGTATTTTTTTTTCATTTCTATACTTGCCATTTTGCACACCCATTTTAACCATGCACATTTCACCCACACATTTATCCAAAAGTCTATCCATAGATTTGATTTCTTGTATTTTCCCGAAGCAAATTTTGCTCTTCATTTACCAGCAATAGCATCTATTCCACATATATATATATATGTGTGTATATTTTCCATGGGGATTTTCTCCATGCATTGAGCAAGTATTTCAGTACTATTTGAGTAATTGCTGCAGTGCTTTCACCATTATTTTCCCTGGGCTGTCTGCAGCTCTTGAGTTCTAGAAAGCCTTGAAATGATTGAGATTTTGCTGTGCAGCTTCAGTTGTTATTGATGGAAGATGAACTAGAGCAAGGTGAAGGCTGTGGTTTGATTTGAAGCCTGTGAGCTTTGTTATTCTGATCTCTTCTGGCAGCGAGTTCTGCAGCCATGAGCAGGTTAAAAAGGGAAAAGGGAAAGGAAAAGCTCTGTGACCTTTATTTGGGAGTGGGGAATTCCACTGACCCTGGAAAAGCTGCATCTGTGGAGTATGAAATAGTAACACTGAGGGCATGAGATGATTAGAAACAATAAAATACTCAATTCCCAGATGCAGGGGCATTTTCCTCATTGCAGAGGAAGAGCAGGGAAAGCTGAGGGAACACGGCTGCCCTGAGTGCGTGATAATAATAGTTAAAAATTAAAAATCACAGCCTTTAAAGTTGCATGTGGATTTTGGGGAAAGGGCTTTCCTATTTCTGAGTTTGGCTAGAGTCTTTTAGTGTCCCTGCAGGGCTTGGCTTTCAGCAAGGCCTTTACAGACAAAAGTGCTGGTTCTGGGGGCTCTGTGGAAGGACTGAAGTAGAGTTTGCATTTCTGAGTTTTATTGTCCACATGTTTCAGTTGCCCCCAAGAACTTTGGCTAATTGCAATGTATTGTTGATTATAAAAGCCAAAAAAAAAATAAAAAATACAGAGGACAATGCATTGGAGAGCCTCACAGAAACTGTGCTTTCCACTGCCCAACAAGAAACATCAGCTGGGTGTACAAGAAAGAATCCCTTCCGTGGAGATACTGATGGCAGTGGTTTGGACACACCACGGCTGTCCTGCTCCACGTGTTTCAGGTGATAGAGCATGTTGGATATTGGGATAATTATGCAAATTAGAAGAGCAGATTACACACAGCAGAGAGCAGAAGTTGATCCCGTTTTCCAGAGTATGTTATCTCTCACATCCCAGGTGCAGAAGTGCTCACCGCTGGGATGAAGCCACATGGTCAGGGTGACACAAGAGTGTCAGCGTGGCTTGTTTCAGGATCTGAGCACAGCCCATGAATCCCAAACTCCTCAGGCCACCCCATCAACTCATCACTGCTGCAACTGGCCTCCCAACAGCTTTCAGGTGAGGGGCACGGGGCAATAAGGGGCTTGCCAGCACAGCCAGCACTGGGAGGATTAAATCTGTTGTGTGGTGCTGCTGCTGCTTCTTCATTCCTGCTTTGCTGTTTCTTTTTATTTTCTGCACATGTGACCACAAGAAGGCACAAAGAGCAGAGGTAGGAGTTTTCCCCAGCTTTATAAACAGGTTAGATGATAGCAGCACCAGTGTGGCTGCTCCTGTTCCTACTTGGAGGACATGCTGGGTGTAGGATTCCAGTGCCTGCATGGTTTTCATTAAGCTCTGGGTAATTTTTCATAGCTGATTTTTATGAAAGCACCATGAGTTATTTATTATGTAGTTTGTATTTGTGGACTTTGGGATTTTTTTGCTTGTGCTTTAATGTTATGATTTAAAAAAAAAAACAAAACTCAGAACAGTTCTAGCAGTTTGGCAACTCTGCTTTCATTGAGTGTTCATCATCAGACGATGCTGTGTGTAAATGTGGTGATTCTGTGCCTGTCCAATGGGTTACCTGGCAGCAGAACTCAGAGCTGGGGGCTGTGCTGCCATGGCAGAGGACTCATTTCACCCCCTGCATGCCTTGCTGGTGCTTGTTTAACCTTGTGAAAGTCCCCAAGTATGGCAAGTGTATAAACCCCATGAACACTCCTTACCAAGGTCCGAGCAAGCAGGCTGGGTAGAGTTTGTAGGGAACACCCAGGGAGTGAGGGGAGAAGAGCAGCAGAAAAAAGAGTGATTTCACAGCAGTGGAACAATGGAAGGCAAGCAGTGGGAAGGTACCAGTGCACAAAGCTTTTGCTGTGGCCTTTTCTCTCCAGTGCCAGTTCTGTTTTCTGGAGAGGCACAGACTGATTCCCACCCGCCCTGCTTTCAGCTGGAGGGGTCAGGAGTCAGCCAGGGGCTCCTGTTTGCCACAGCCTGCAGGGACAAAGCCTGAATGCAGAGCCTCTGAGATAAACTGCTGTCCACAGAAGGAAGGAGCATTGAGGATCTTGTCAGACCAGGCTTATCGCTCCTTGCCTCTTTATTGTTGTGGGTTTGGCCTTTGGGGGGTTCTGTTGTCTTGGAATTGCGGTTTTTTAGGAGTGGGGTGGGGTGGTTTTGGCTGATTTCTTAGCCAATTCCTGATACTGGGATCTGTTGGGAAGGGGTTTGCCATGAGGTGTCTCTGCTTGGTTCCATGGAGTTCTGCTGCTTTGCATATGCCCACGGTGGGCTGCTCACAGACTCACAGGGTGAAGCTAATCCCTGCTTTTGCACTCCTGGCAGAAATCCTGGCAGGACTGCAGGCCATGAGGAGAGCTGGATGGAGGAGAAGGGCTGGGGGGAGGTTAGAAATTGCATTGCAGACTCTGCTGGGAGTCCTAATACTGGTAGTGTGTCCACTGTGATAAAGTAGGGAAAGTCCTTGCCTGGGAAAGCTGACAAGAGACCAGCGAGATCCATT